TTGCTACTAGTAGTGATGCCCTTGTTACTAGTAGTAATGCCCTTGTTACTAGTAGCTTCTTGCTACTCATTGCCCTTGCGACTAGTAGGGATGCCCTTGTTACTAGTAGTGATGCCCTTGTTGCTAGTAGCTTCTTGCTACCAATTGCCCTTGCTACTAGTAGCGATACCAGTAGTAATGCCCTTGTTGCTAGTAGCTTTTTGCTACTAATTGCCCTTGCTACTAGTAGGGATGCCCTTGTTACTTGTAGTAATGCCCTTGTTGCTAGTAGCTTCTTGCTACTAGGACAATTGGATGTTGAACAAGGAAACATGCTTGTATCTCAAGCTGTGAAGAGTGGTTCAAGTGTTTTCAATGAATCCTTTGTTGTGCAGACACGCACGAGTTCTTTGGAAGGAGAACTACAACTTCATGCTTTCCAAGCCTAGCTGCCTAGCTTTCGGAAGCGCTTGGACGGTTGGACCACCAGATTGGACCACTTTTACGAAGCCGCGTTGACTGACGCAACGTTGCTTCAGTGGCATCTGATAGGTGTGACAAGGACGCGCGGAAGAGAAGTGATCCTCCGCCACCTGTATCGAATTGATTTGAAATTCTTGGAAGCAAACCTAGAAGCAATGGCCTCCAAGAAAGGTTTCACATACTTTCGCTTCACTGCCGGTGTAATTCTTGCGGTTTTTGCGAAGCCGCAAACCGGGCAAACCCTTGTGAGGCCGTCGATAATGGTTTAGGGCTTAGGGAGACAGGACACGGCAAGGCAGCCAAAGCAGTTCTGACAAACACGCTTTCTTTACTAGCCCTTACTACTTGGAAACAAGCACATTTTCTGAGGGCTCATATAGGCCTAGCCACAGAAATTTGCTACACAACAGGTATACATTCCTGTATTAATGGAGACATGCCAAAGGCATAGCTACTCAACATTGAGGGTTTGAATCTGGGGATTGGAACTAAGAAGTCCCAAATGTGCATCACACCGCACCATGCCATGTATGCCAGTCATGTCGCCCAACAGCGTAGTCAGCCAAATTACAAATGTTTGCTTTTCCAGTTTTCATGCAATTTTCTTGAAGCCTGGATTGGATGGGCGCGATAGAAAAGAGCAGCTGTGTTGGTTGTTGCAGGTCTTGAAGAGTTTGGCCGCCTGCAAGTTCGAGATAGCGGTTTTCATTTGGCAATGTCCGAGTCGGCTCAACATTTAGTCTCGTTCCCAACGTTTGCTCTTTGTTTGCCACCAACCTTTAGCATTTCAGCTAATGCCAGAATCCAATATGTCACCGGCACCAAGCTCAGTCAGAAGGATGATTTGCTACCAGCATAGTATACTTTATGCATGGATTGCATGGGCTGTATATACATGCACTAGAAACCCTCAAGCAAAGGGAAACGCTAGCTGCAGGCAAAGACATCACATGGCCGCTCGATAGGCAAAAGGTCTCTTCTGTCTTCAAGAAAGCGTTGATTTGCTCAATGGGTGTCATTGCAATGTCGCATGCGCTTTACGCTTTGCGCATGGACTTTGCAGTACGCTTTGCGCAACCTGCGCGACCAGCGCTCTGAATTCGCTTGAATGCCGGTGCCGGTGCCGGCACCACCTGGCTTTGCCCATGTGAAGCACCCAATCTCACGAGAGCGAACGCGAAAGACGGGCATTTCCACCTTCACCAGGAGAGCGAGCGCGTGACGTGATGCGAGATGAATCGCAGGAGTTGACGTTTGGTCGATGGATGGCCCTCTAAAGAGTTGGACAGCAAGTTGTTGGTATCAAGCTTCTGTCCAAAGAGAGGGTGCCAGTTTTAGGAAAGAAAGGAAAGAAGGAAACAAGACAGGTTGGAAGTAAGAGGAACACATGACTGTATATAGACAAGTGATTGACAACTATATAAAACGGTATAACTAGTTTCAATACTTTCTAGCAAGACTTTGGCAATGGCTTCAGTCACTGCCGAGCCAAAGCGTAAGACCTTGCGGGTGCTCTTGTAAGGCAAGGGCATCAACGGCAATAGTAGCTTCTTGTTACTAGAAGAGATGGCCACCAACCTCATAGCGATGGCCTCCAACCTCTTGTAAGTTGATGGTTTGTTTTTGAGAACGTGTCACGTTTCACATTCTGAGAGCCAGGATTTGGCCTCGACGTGGAAAGAACAAGAGACGTGGTCCCAACCCGCGTTTGAAGAGGTATGGCCTCTTGAGAGCTTTGGCTGATCATTCTTGGCTGATCACCTGTCTTACTTGGTCTTACTGGTACGAAAAGTGAGAACAGAAGAAAGGGAACATGCATCGAGTTCCAATTCTTTTCCAACAAAATCAAGGAACCAAATGAGCAGTGCTTCCTTGAAGAAGCCTGAGCTCTCCTGCATCCTACCTAGGAGCTTGCCTCCTTACCATGCCAGACAAGGAATCACATTGAATCGCAATTTAACCCCCCGGTCATTGCGCTACTCAAAGGGATTCCGCGAATGTCTTAACTCAACTGCTCTCTTCGCATGCTCTTGTCTTGATTTATTTGTTCATTTAGTATCCAATTTTTCGACATGCTTTCTTCCTGAGCATGAAGAACACTGCACATGAGGAGTGAAGTAACTTTGTTCCGTCATTAAAGGAAGCCTCCGCGGAAGGGCTGCTGGATAGGGTATTAGTATTGCCCTTGTTACTAGTAGCGATGCCCTTGTTACTAATAGCTTTACTGAAGCTGTTGTCGTGGTTTTTCTTCAAATCTTGCCCAGGAAGAATGGCTCTCCTCCCGTTCTGGGTGGTTTGAAGCTCAGTAAGACGAGTGGCTACCTAAGGGCGAGGTTGAGTGAGTGAGACCGGCAAAAGATCAGGGCAAAAGACCGTGTTTTATCGCTCAGAACAGGAAATGCGGGTCTACGTCTATGTGCAAGACACAAGTGTCTTTTCGGATGGTATTTTTTGGTTGGTCTGGATTGCAGGTTCAAACATACTCCTCAAACTCCGCAAGCAAGGATAATTACATCACAGTACTCGTGAAACTGAGTTGGTTCTCCTTTGTTTACAGCTTTCTGTTTGTGCTACTCATAACAGCCCAATGCCTTGCCAGAGAATCTGGTTTGGGACGCTGCCTTTTGACCGATGCGTTGCATCAGGGTGCGCTCCAATACCGATTGGTGATGTTGGTGGACTCTCTGGCGCACAGTGTCCTTGCAATTCTTTGCGGCGCTGAGCTCTTAGGACAGCACTACTCAGCTGCGTGTGAGAGCTGTTTTCCGCTTTTTTGGAAGTATCTAAAAATAACCGCGCGATGATCTTGAAGATGGAACTCAAAGAGATCCTTTGCGATCCTTTAAGTCTAAAGAAACATATATACATAGAGACCATACATGGCTATTAGGTTGGAGGCCATTGCTATTCAAGGTTGGAACTCAAAGGAATCCTGTTCCTTTGAGACATTTTGAGTAATTCGTTTTTTTTCTCCAAGTCTGCTTTGGAGCTGACTTTGAGAAGCCAAGTCGAGTGGGTCCGGTTTTGACAATGTTACTAGTAGCTACTTGCTCCTAATAGTACGGCTAGGAGCCCCTAGTAGCGTCCTTGCTCCTAGTAGCGATGCCAGGAGCCCCTAATAGCGTCTTTGTTACTAGTAGCTTCTTGTTACTAGTAGTAAGGTGCCTTGCTACTAGTATAGTTTTTGCATTTGCCAGGATTGGACATTTTGCGTGGAAGGCATTCGTGGGAAGGGTTTCAGCAAATGGCAATGGCTGAGCAATGGTTGCAGAGCTAGGTATGAAGCACACTGCATGTTTGCCTTTTGACCTTGAGCGCAAGAACCTTTGCAAAGCAGCCAAATGTATCTTCTCACAAAGTTTGGTGCCTCCCTGTCATAGGCAAAGCTCGGTCTTGGCCCGGCCATTGGGCTCTGCAAGGAGGCTTGCTTCTTTGGTCTACGATAGCTGCTTGGTCGCTAAATCTACGGAGCGCTACGGGTGAACTTCCATCCATCAATATCCTTTTCAAAACATGAAGACGGACTTTAAGAAACCGACTTTAAGGAACCTAATAGCCATGGCCTCTAACCTGAGCGATGGCCTCCGGCTAGAGGACTGATCCCTGGGTCGTTTGCAAGGAGGTTCACAAAGGTGAGACTTGTTGAAGACTCATACCGATAGTCCGTCCCATTCCTCACTGCCAATCCTTGCAGCATTTGTAGCCGGGTGGAGGGCACTCGTGGGGCGTTATTTCGGGCTCCAACGAAGGGAAGAAACAGTTGGGATAGTTCAGAAGCTTGCAGTGTATCATATCCCGCTTCTTTCTGTGTCCTTCTTCGCTTTCTTTGTTGACTTCGCCTTTTTCTTTTTCCTCTTCTGCAAGCTAGTGAGGCTTGAGAACCAAACATTCCAACGCCAGATGGAAAACACAGTGATTCATTATATAGAGACACTGTTTCTGCCTGGGGTTTTAAGGCTGCTTTGGAATGGCGCAGCTGCTATGCACGCTGCCACGGTTCTTCTTTTCGTGTGGCTCCCAGCTTGGACAGAATCCGCTACATAATTGCAAAGGCATGAAGAGAAGGAAACAACGCATTCACAACAAAACTAGCTACCCCTTGATATCATGGTCAACTAAACATATATAATTTGGAACCTTTAACATCAATCGCAATTTGGAGCTAAATACCTTCAGCATCATTGGCCGATTTGTTCCAGCTCTCAGGTTCCCTGATGAGGATATGATGACAGTGTTTCGCCGCCTCGCCATTTTGTGGCTCAGAAGGAAACATAGTGCTTGTGCATGCTTGTGTTTCTTTGTCAATCTGCGGAAGTTTTGTTGTTTTGCCTTCTGGTCAAAACTTCTGTTTAGAAAGATTATGTTTTAGAATGACGGACAGGTGTGAGCACACAGTGAACGATTCTGATTCTTGTTCCTATCCACTGTGGCTTCAAGCTTTGACTGAGGCAGTGCTGCTTCGGAGCATTGTTGCACTATTCCTCGGTGGTGCGATGGAAAACCAGATCTTGTGAGTATCGAGTACCTCCACTGCTGATTTTGGTGGCCTACTTTGTCCTACCGTGGACTGGGACTTGACATGTGTACTCCTCTTCCATGTGGCAGTCATCAGATTCAAGTCTCGAGAATGTGCCAAGAAAGTTGTTTTTTTGGTGTCATCGGAATGCCCAAAGTTTGATATCTTTCGATGGAACAGTTGGAGATGGCTGTTGACCAACTCAATGCAACAAGATTTGACCAAAAGCAAAGCGAGACGAGAGAACTGTAAGAGGCAACTAATAGGCTGGGCCATTGCTATTGGGGGTTGGAGGCCATCGCTAGTAGGTAGGGGGCCATCGCTTGTAGGTGTGTGCGGCCATTGCTATTTGGTAGAAAGTCCAAAGACAAGCAGGACCAACCTTTGCAGCTTTTTGCTACTTGTGCGTCCTGGAGATCATCAGTTGGGCAGCCGGCTCATGGACTGCCCAGCATGTGTGGGAAAACGGATGTAGTTCTTGATGTTCCCTGTTTGTTGTAAAGGCACGCCGTTTTTTTTTTAAAATGTACTTCAAATGATCTTACCTTTGATCAGCAGTTCAAGCAATTCTTGAAGAAGCTGATCTGGAAGTGTGCAACTCATACCCCTTTTTCCTTTGTGACTTGAAGGCCATTGGAGTATACAGAAATCAGGGGGCACATACGATCAGATGCACATGGGTCAACAGGAGTTCTTGATCTTAATGACGTCAGCGGGACTTCGAGTGGCTCTATTTGGAAGGTATGGCAGGCGGCGCCCAGTGAAACGAATCCCAAGGAAGCTTCTTGTTACTACAGTAGTAGCTTCAGAGACCTCCTAGTAGCTTCTTGTTGCTAGTCATGTGCATATTGTATCAGATTGTGCATTGAATGGCATTGGACTTGTGCAAGCCGTTCCTTAATGATGTGCACAGGCATCGGTATTCTCATGGTTTTATCTCATTTGTTTGACACAGGTGTGGAGAAATAAGTTGACGTGGCTTGTGTCTAGGCCACGCATGCCACGAGCCCCACAGTCATACTTGATGCGGTTCGGCGATGCGGTGGTGCTGGGCCTTGCTGTGTATTTGTTAGAAGCTTGTCCGCAATCACAGCCTCAGTTTGACTTAGTTTCCCTAAAAAATCTAGGAACCAAATCGCTATTAGGTTGGAGGCCATCGCTAGTAGGTTGGAGGCCATCGCTACTCGGGTGGAGGCCATCGCTATTAGTTTTCCAAAAAAATCTAGGAATCAAATCACTAGTGCGAGCGCTTCTTCAAGGAAGCTCCCCCGCCCTCACACGTGGGGAGCTTCCTTTGAGCTATCCTGCGTCCAGTAGGTAGTAGCTTAAGTAGTTAAGCTACAATTAAGCAGGCACCTACTGAATGAAGTAGGAGTGGGGGAGAGCGGGCTTAATTAAAAAAAGGCACCACAGCCTGTGCGGTCATTGGTTTCTCCTAGCCTGTGCGATGTTTGAGGATGCTGCTCTCCTGCGAAATGCTTGGATTGAACGCCGCAAGAATTGGAGCCTCAGAAAGCAAAGAGTGAAATGTGAGCATGTGAGCAGTAAAAAGAACATATAGGAAGATAACCTAATAGCGATGGCCTCCAACTTAATTACTACCTTTAGAGATGTGAGAAACGGGGTGTGCTTTTTGCAGACTTCGTCATGCGAGGAAGTTTGTGTTCTGTCTCCTCCTGCTGGCGTTGCCTTTACCATTCTGGCGTCATTTATTGCGCTTCTTCCGAGAAGAGCGTGACGGTGTCAAGATGCCCAAGGCGCGCTTGCTGAGCACAATTTGTTTCGCGGATTGGCCTTGGTTTCATGACCATTGACCATTTGCTTGCATTGCACCTTCAGAAAGACTGGCTTCGAACCTACTGCGTTGCGGTCGGAGTTATCCTTTTCTGGATCTCGTGGCTGCCGATTGAACCCGTGGGCAGTCAAAAGGACACGTGCTTTGTTATGATCGCTTGGCATTTCTGGTGTTTCTTGCATGTGTACGTTTACTTTGCTGCTTTGTTGCCCGTATCATTTCAAAGGGAGTCCGTGAAACAGATCACATCTCAAAGGGAGCCACGTTTGTCCAATAACTCTCCAAGACGAGGCATTGCAGGGAGTGCAAGGTAGCTGCCCGTAGGTCGCCTGGTAGCTGCGAATCAGCCTGATTCAGCACTGCAACATGGTCCTCAAATGTCCAAGCTCCTCTAAACTGAGTCAAGGGAGTTGCTCACATGACGTGGCATAAAGCTGAACATAATAACATATGAGCTGGCATGTGTACTCACATATGTACTGGCATTTCATTGGTGCTTGCACCATCTTGCATGCTGACATACACTCTGGCATTTTGGGCGGCATGTGTTCTGACATTTCTCACGCACTACTAGATGAGCAACACCATGGCCAAGAAAACTGAGGAGAAAGAGAGGAGTACTCAGCTCTGATCGAAGGGTAGCCCAAATAGAATATTAATTTAATCCAGCTCTGGATGCCATGAAAAGTGAACGTTGCTCTCTGGCAAACTACATTAAACACATATGCTGAAGTTCGGATCTTAATATTTCAAAATGCACTGAACTTGGTGATTTCGTGACACGTGAAGCACAGGACACCATTTTATGTGTTGCTTATCAACATGAAATTGCACACATTCAACGCCACAGGCAGTGAAGAAAGAGCGAATCACAAGGGAGGCGGGCGCAGACGTGAATCGCGAAAGTACTTTGAAAGCGCGAGACAACTTGAACCCTTTTGCCACAAGTGTGCAACAGTCTACAAGTCAAGCTGGCGCGTGTTGCGTTCATGGAGGATGTTCGAGCTGAGATTTATGGGAAACTCCGACCAGGAGTGCCCGTTGGAGCTGTTCCTTGGCAACCACTGCTTTGAGAAACACGCAGTTCTAGCAAGTGCCGGTTGATGGCAAGGAAACATGTTTCAAACACATGTCAAAGAAGTATCACAATATGCAAGTTGACGCAGAGTTTCCCTAAAAATTACGGCAACCAAATCATTAGTGCGAGCGTTTCTTCAAGGAAGCTTTCCCCTGCCCTTAGGTGGGGGAGCTTCCTTGAAGAAGTGTGAGCTATCCTGTGTCCTAGCTAGGACCTTCCTATTGCTAGTAGCTTACCTCCTTACTTAACTAAGTAAAAAGACACTTTTTGGCATTTTTTACAAAGCTGCTTATTCCTAGATGACCTGGGAGAGATAGATGACCTCTGAGGATCTTCCGACGGACGTTACGCAAAAGCTTCGTGCACGGCGGGCTTTTGAACGTTCCAGGGGACAGAGAGAGGCCGGGAGTAAAAGAAAGTGGTTGGATGCCATCGCTAGTAGGTTGGAGGCCATTGCTAGTAGGTTGGATGCCATTGCTAG